GAAAGTAAATTAGGTATAGAACTTTGGAGTAACTATGATGACATGATGATGGAGTGCTTTCTCTGAATTTGCTAAATACAAATGGACTGAATATTGTAAATGTATTTCTACTTGATAACTGCTTTGTTGCATATCATGTTACTTAAAACCTTTTATTTTTATTTAGACAAAAGTGGGAAGTGTTGTGGAATATTCTTTGAAGATGTGTTTCATTTGTTTATGCTGTAGAATGTTTGTTTTAATGATGCAAAGATGTGTTGCATTCTTTTATGTTGCATTTGTTTGACTCTGTGAAGCTTTGCTTTTTGCCTGTGTAAAACACCTGATGGTCTAATAAAGAACTGAACGGCCAATAGCAAGGCATGAGAGAGGATAGGTGGGGCTGGTAGGCAGAGAGAATAAATCGAGGAGAAATCTGGAAGGAAGGAAAGAAGAAGGAGAAGGAGCAAGAGAACAAAGAGAGGAGGAGGCTAGGGACCAGCGACTCAGCGACAGCGTCAGCCACAGAATAAGTGTGAAAGTAAGATATACAGAAGTAGGCAAGGAAAAAGCCTAGAGGCAAAAGGGAGATGGGATAATTTAAATTAAGGAAAACTAGCTAACAATAAGCCAAGCTAAGGCCAAGAACTCATAAGTAATAATAAGTCTCCGTGTGTATTATGTATTTGGGAGTTGAGTAGTATCTCCCCAAAAGAGCAAAGCACCAAAAGCATTAAAAAACAACAACAACAGAGTGGAGGGGTAAAGAGAGAAGGAAAGAGAAGACAGAGAGGTAGGAGGGGAGAGAAGAGAGAAAGATGCAGTGTTACATGCGCACTAAAGGAAACATCTTAGCCCTAAAAATATTGGACTCAAAGCCCTTCTGCTGTGAGCTCATCATAAGAAATTGGATAAAGGAAACCAAACTGGACTGAACACAAATGACCTGAAGGCAGGATTGCATCCCGGTGACCTTCCGGTCTTCACTTTGCCTAAACACACTTCATCGGATTATTGTCCTGCTAAAGTACACAGTAGCCTAACTTTTTGCAAGAAACACAATAGAGGACATCCTTTCTCTATCACCCAACCCCACAGGTGAAGCCAGGTTAATCTCTGGTTCCTTGATCAACAGGATTTAAAAATGAGATGTCTCATTGGCTAAAGGCTACATGGTTTTCTCTTTCCTATAGTGAACAGCTGCCCAGTCCTCATCCTTTTTACCCCCAAACTCATCCCCTCCTGTGGCTCAAACTCAGGTCTCACCCCTCCCAAGGTCAGGCCTGGTGAGCAACAGGTGCAGCTAGAGCAGCCTGCGCAGGCGCAGTGACTGGTATTAGATGGTATTGGTTGTCCAGAGTCCTGCTGGAAGGGTAGGGGGATCTTGAGTATGGAGAAAACTAACTCAACTTACCCCTACATGGTTTTTATCCAGGGAAAAGGTGAGTAGTGGGGAAAAAGAGATGCTAGGATGGTAAGTTTCAGGGTACATGACAGATGGTCAAATGCAGAGGCCAGAGGGATTTGGTCCAGCAGACATTTGTTCACAAGCTACCATGTGGTTGCTGAGAATTGAACCCTGGTCCTCCATATGAGCAGAAAGTGCTCTTAAGTGCTGACCATCTCTCCAGCCCCTGCATTGGTTGATTGTCAGCTTCACACACTGGGTAGGGAGAACCTCAGCTGAAGGATTGCCTGCATCATATTGGCCTGTGGGCACATCTGTTGTGAAGGCATTTGCTGTCTGTCTTTCTTTTTCAATTTTTAATTTTTTTTGTTTTTTTTTAGACAGTGTTTCTTGATGTATCTCTGACTGTCCTTAAATTCACTCTGACACCAGGCTAGCCTCAAACTCAGATATTCGCCTGCCTCTCTGTCCTGAGTGTTGATATTAAAGGCTTGCTTCACCACCACCACCACCACCACCACCACCACCACCACCACCACCACCACCAC